CAAGTTTGTCTCCTTAAATAACATCTCCCAGATTCCCCCACCCCAGCCTCTGGTAACCATTCTACTCCCGTTTTTATGAGTTTGGCTTTTTTAGATTCCACATATAAGTAAGATCATATAGTATTTGTCTTTCTCTGTCTGACTTATTTCACCTAGGATAATGCCCTCAAGTTCCATCCATGTTGTGGCAAATGGCAGGCCCTCCTTCTCTCTCATGGCTGAATAATATTCCACTGTGGTGTGTGTGTGTGTGTGTGTGTGTGTGCGCAACTTTTGGGTGTAGAGATAAGGGAACCCTTGTGCACTGTTGGTCAGAATGTAAATTGGTGCAGCTAACCTTTTCTAATTGTGGAAGACTGAATGGAGGATCCTGAAAAAATTAAAAATAGAACTACCCTATGATCCAGCAATCCCACTTCTGGGTACAGATTCAAAGGAGATGAAAATCGGATCTCAACGAGACCCTCATGTTTTTTGCAGCATTATTCACAGTAGCCAAGACATGGAATCAATCTATCTATCAACAGATGAGTAAAAAAAAAAAAAAAAAAAAAAACAGATGAGTGATAAAAAAGTTGTGGTATATATATACCAGGGATCTTGCTAAATGCAATTCTGATTCATCAGGTTCCTCTAGGGCCTGAGACTCTGCATTTCTTTTTGTTTGTTTGTTAATTTTTTTCAAGTAATCTCTTTGTGCAAGGTGGGGCTCGAACTCACCACCCCCAGATCAAGCGTCGCATGCTCTATGGACTGAGACGCCCCTGAGACTCTGCATTTCTAACAAGCTCCCAGGTGGTACCCATCTTGGACCGTGTTTTGAGAACAAGGGACTAAATGAACTCCGATTTACCTCCAGGCTCAGAGATTCTATAACTCTGTTCATTCCTGTTTTCATGCAGTTTTCTATGACAGGGCTCACATGCCTGAGAACATCGGCTCTAGCTGAGAGAGACCGATGTTACGAAGACCTGTCTTTCTGGATCTCTGTGGGGTACTTTGGAGTTGAGAGTTTGACATTTATGGCAGCCTCCTGTTCCAGCCCCATCAGCTGCAGATCTGTGCGTTCGGATTTACAGAAGAAAATAGTACTGTCAGCGATGATCCGGTGGGGTTTGAAAATTGTGTCATCTACTCGTACTGCTGGATTCACAGCCCCTCACCCCAGGGGAACTCTGAGGAACCTGAAGACCCTCCCACCTCTCCCTCCACCCTCTCTTGGCCTTTGCTATTGGCAGTATCTAAAATCCCAGCCATAGCCTCATCTTGCTGGGTCTTGATAGCTTTGGGGGACCCTAAGGAGCTTCAGTTAAAATGAAAATTTCTCAGCAAGGAAAGATTCTTTTACTCTTCGCCAGAGCTGCCTTTATTGGATTCCTTTCTGGGAATTCCAGAGGGTCCTTGCTTTTATAGATGGGGAGATGGAGACCGAGAGAGGGGGAAGGACTGGTCACACCATGAGTTCATCATGGAACCCAGATTTCTGACCAGCCGGTGGTTGGCTTCTTGGGGGTCGGCCTGTCGAGGCAGGCAGGCCCAGGTCACACTTTGAAAATCATGATCTAGTGGCTTTGAGTCACACAGTTGGGGATTCAAATCCTAGATCATTTAAAAAAATAAATATTTATTGGGGCACCTGGGTGGCTCAGTCTGTTGAGCATATGAGCTCAGGTCTTGATCTCACAGTCATGAGTTTGGACCCCACGTTGGGGACTGAAGTCCAGCTAATTGCCCAAAGTCACACAGCTGGTAAATAGCAGAGCTGGGATTTGAAACCACCGTGGCTGGGGCCATAGCTCATGCTCTTAACCACCAAGTCATGAGCTTACTAACTAACTGTACCACTGATTCCTCCCAAAACCTGACACCAAAGAGGAGGGCAGGGTTTTATGTCTACTTTTCAGAGAAGGATCAGAGAGGTTAAGTAACATTTGGAAAGCTGTGCAGCCCACTAGGGGCTGGGTTGGCCTTTGAAACCAGGCTCTGAGCTCAGTGACCTTGGGTGGGCCACATAGCCTGTCTAAACCTCAGACTCCCCCCTCCCCAACTGTCTACCTTTCGAAGTGGCCGTGAGGATGACATGAGATAATAAGTGTGAAGACATTGGCCACACATGGCCACCAATGGGATGTGGCAAAATGGCAAATGTAGTGTTTAGTCTCCTTGGGACCTGCTTCCCGTTCTCTCCCCCAGTAGGGGACACCTCCTGACTATTAACAAGTCAGCATTTCCAAAAGGAACCCCCAAAGGCAATGCCTAACCCAGAAGGGAAGCTGCTTGAACGGTGAGCTTTCAGGCAGACTGGAGTGGCGACTTTTTTTTAACAGCTTTATGGACATATTTTTCACGTTCACATATTTTCATGTTCACCATTCAAGTGCATGCACGGTTCAGCGGTTTTTAGTGTATTCAGAGAGTCATGCCCCGATTGCCACCAGCTAATTTTAGAACAGTTTCAACAGCCCCAAAAGAAAACCCATACACTAGCAATCATTTGGAGCTGGCGATGCTTAGCCTGGAGGGAGAAGTTGCTCAGAGTGGTTTTGTTGGCAGCATGGCAGATCATTTGGAGCGTGATGGGGAATTCTCCGCAAATCATACCCCAAACAACTGCCTATTTCCCCCATCAGAGAGCTGTCCACGGGGCACAGTGCGTTCCATTCACTAGTCTTTTGGTCCAAGAAATAATGACATTTTTTTTCTGTAGAGAGTAGGGCAGGGGCTGCCTGAATGTTTGGGAAGTAGAGGGTCATTGTTGGAGGGGCCAACTACCCCCAAAGAGGATGATGGGAGAGGAAGTGAGGGGAGGGGAGGGCAGGGCTGGGTCCCACACTTAGCAGCGAGGCTCCCTACCCCAACCAGATGGGTCTTTCAGAATTGTGACTTGGATTGTGTTGTTTTCCTCCTCAAGACTCTTCAATGACTTCCCTTATTTTTTGGAAGAAAATCCAGAGTCCTTAGGAGTCTGAAGTCCTCCCAGCTTCATCCCATGCTGTGTTTCCACTCATGCTCTTCCTTCCAGCCTCACACGCTGCTTTTCTGTTCCTACTCTGCCTCCATGAGCTTTTGGCAAATAGAAAAACGTGCACTCTCTTGGTGGAACAAATTAGAGAAAGGATTTTGTTCTCTTAGCCTGATGCCTTTTTACAGTACACGACCTATGCAAAGGAATACAGCAGTCCTGCCTTAAATAGGCCAAGCTCCCAACAGACAAGATTTTGACGTCTGGGAAGAGTGGAAAGAGCATGGGCTTAGAGGGCGTCTCTGAGGGTGGGAATCCCAGGTCTGCCACTGGGCTGCTGTGTAGTCCAGGGAGGGTGATTCAATCTAAAGAGAGCGAGTGATCCCCACCTTGGGGGATGGAAAGTACCATGAGGATTAATGAAATCATTGGTGTGCTGGGCTTGATCGATGCCCCTCCATTCCCGTGTGGCCCCAGGATCCCTACCACCATTTAACAGAGAATCAATGATGTTCGCAGAGCATATGCATTTTTCTTTAAAAACAAAAAATTTTAAATGTCTTTTATCTGCTTCTCCTCACTACACATGCTCCTCCGTTTTCACTAAGCAACCTGGATGAAGTCTGAATGACAACAGGCTCCTAATTTGTACCCATCCCCTTCCACTCTTGCCCCTCCAATGCCTTCAGGAGTCACCACAAAACACGTTTAAAACCAAATCTGGTCATATCATCCCACACCCCACTGTGTGCTTCAGACTCCTCATCTTTCTGGTCTTGGACCAAATGTCAGCCGTGAAAGAGCCTCCCAGGACTGCTCAGTCCATGCTAGGAGGACCAGGCTAATGGCCCGAGATGGCCACAGTTGGTGTGCCACGATGGGAAATGGCCCAGAGCCCCCAGACTCACCAAGGGCCCAAGGACAGTCTGGGCTGGTGGTCTGGCTTCCATGCCAGCCTGGAGAGTCATGGCGAAGAACTAATTGCAGCTGACGATGTGACTGGCTAAGCCCTCCAATGGCCTCTGTCCCCTGGTCCAGTGCTCTGCTTTGGGCTCGACTGCTGGTCAGGAGAGCTTGGGAAAAGGGAGCCACATCACAGAGCCCAAGCGTGGGGCAGGGAAACACGCTGTGCAGGGCAGCTGCTCAACAGCGACACCGTGTGGCAGTGGCAGGAACAGCAGCCTCATTGGATGGATCCACTCTACAAACCCTCTCTGCCTGACCTTAGGAAGCAAGACTCGCTCCCTTTGGACTAAGTAAACCCCAGATACTCTTGGGAAGTGTGGAATGAGGGGTGTCTTCAGAGGGGACAAAGAGGGGCGCCTGGGTGGGGCAGTCGGTTGAGCGTGGGACCCTTGGTTTCCTCTCAGGTCTGATCTCAGATTTCTGAGATCCAGCCCCCGGGGAGGGCTTTGTGCTCAATGGGGAGTCTGCTTAGGTTTCTCTCTTCCTCCCTCTCTGTCCCTCCCCCTGCTCTCTCTTTCTCAAATAAATAAATAAATCTAAGAAAAAGAAAGGAAGAAAGGGACATGAGACATTCTGCTAAGAAGGGCATGTGAGGGCTCAAGAGATTAATTAGAGGAATGGAAAGAGGTGATTGTATCTGTGCTGTGAATTGGTGCTGCAGGGCATGCTGGGTCCAGCCAATGAAGGAAAGAATGAGCAAAAACCAAGAAATAATACCATCACACAGAACTGCACAGAAAAAGAAGTATTTTTTTGTGGGGGGTGGGGTACGAAGCTCGATGAGAAATAGTGTGGTAACAACTGGAAAGCAATTCTTGGAGGAAATCTTGGTGCAGACTTAGCCCTTGCAGGAAAACGCATAATCCCTAAAGTACACACTGCACACTTTCTCAAGGAATGAAGTTTCTGTATTTAGAGAATTTCTGAATCTGAGTTCAGAGAAATTTGCAAGGGTTTCTGGTTCAAGGGCTGGGGAAAGGCAGCCTGTGCCCCCACGGGCACATCAGGAGGGGGTGCCAACAACCCCGCCCCCCCCGGCAGGGCTGACGGCCCCCCGGCACCCATGACGACTTCAGCCGTAGTGAACATCTGCACCAAACAGCAGGAAATTCTAGGGAGAGATGAGAGCACCGTCATCAGCGGGGAGTGCACCCTGGTCTCTGAGCACCATGCTGCTGGGGTTTCAAAGGAAACTTCCAGGAAGGGGAGCCGAGCGGGGCCTGTCTGCAGGCACAGAGGCCAGAGTGAGTGGGGGGCACTCGAGGTGTAGCCGCTGGGACCTGCGTGTCAGTGGCTGGCGGCATCGTGAAGCTGCAGATGTGGGGGACCGTGGGCCGCGGCGGGGGGGCCTTCATTTGTCATCCCTGCCTAATGGCAGCTCAAGGGAGCCTCGTTCCCATCAAGGCTGTGAAACCACTTTTCTTTGCTCCTTCCTGCCCTTCACTCAGAATTTTCAGAAATGAAGAAATTGCACTGTGCCATGGGTCTTTTTTGTTGTTGTTAAGGACGAACTTGGTAAAATGTGGGGGACCGGGGGGCTCTGTGTGTGTGTGTGTGTGTGCTTTCTCAGCTAGTCTACAGCCTCAGCTGAAGAACTGGGGGCTGGCTGACTGGATATTGGGGCTGAGGGAGAGCAGGGAGTCCGGGTGATGTGGCCGCTTCCCACAAGGGCCACAAGGTTAACAGGAGAGCCGCTGAGCAAGGTAAGGTAAGGAAGCGATGGTGGCAGCTTCGTGGCCCAGTTACCAGTTTTGTTGGGACACACTGACTGGGCTAAAGGGCCTCAGGGTGGAGGGAGCAGAGAAAAACTGGAAGCATGTCTGCATCTCTGGGTGGTACAAAGACGGCTGTTAACCTGAGCTGATGAAAGCCAGCAGGGAAAGCTCACAGTGGGGAAGGACAGAGGCCTGGGCAGGAATTCTGGAGAACTTCTGCGGGTAGGAGGAGGAAGGGGGAGGAAGAAGGAGGAAGAAGGAGGAGGGGGGAGGAAGAGG